TCTCTGGCCCTAAGGAGATCTCTGGGAGCTCCTGCCCGTCCTTGAGGGCAGCTCGGCGTCCCAGCCCCCCGCGCTCCCGGCTCCGCTCTAATTTCAGGAATTTAATTGGGAGAACGGCTCCCGGCCTCGCGATCTCATCTGAAAGGGAAGAAAGGGGACGGGAAATTGGGGCATTTTCCCGGTTATTTGAGTCCCGAGCACACAGGGCCGGGCCCGGCGCCTCCCGCTCCGTGTCCCGTCCTCCCGGCCCCGTTCCAGCGGCTCCTCCACGTGTGCTCCCGGCACGTGGAACCGGGACAGCCCAAAAAAGGCCCCGGGGCCGCGGCGCTGTCACAGCGGGGGCGGCAGGGAGGTGACAGGGTGACACCGCCGGGCCGGGAACGCTGGCAGCAGCCCCGGGTGGCACCAGGTAGGATTTTGGGAATGTCTGGGGAACATTCCTCCCGGACAGAGCTGCCCAGCCCTGCGGGTGTAAAAGCCGCGTGGCTGTGGCACCTGGGGACACGGCCGGTGGTGGCCCTGGGGACAGGCGGCCGGGGGCACCGGGGGTTCCCGTCCCAGTTTCCCCGGCGCATCCCGGCCCCCGCAGCTCCGTGGGCAGATGGAGCGCGCGTGGGGAGCCCGTCCCCATTCCCGTGGGAACGCCACCATCTGTCCCCTGCTCGGTGACACCCGGCGGGGACATTCCCAGCGCTCCGGCCCGTGCCGGGGCGGGGGGCTCCCCGCACGGACTGGGAGCAGCTCGGGGGCTGCAGGAGCCCCCCAGGCTGTGGATCACCCCCCCCCCCCCCCCCGCCACATTTGCATTTTTTACTCATTTCTACATTAACTCAGAGTTTTGGCGATTGTTTATTTGGGGGAGGGGGGCACCGGGGGGACGCGTGGTGGCTCCTGCTGTCACAAGAGCCCAGTCATGGTTCAACCACGACAAAGAGCCCAGAGGAGCCTCCTCCCTCCCTCCTTCCCTCCCTTCCTCTTCCTCCCTCCCTTCCTCTTCCTCCCTCCCTGCCCTTCCTCCTAATTAAAGGGAATAAATAGAATAGAAATAAATAGAATTAAATGGAATAGGAAGAACGTAATGGAGTAGGAGAGCTGGACTAAGCAGCAGATAACAATTGGAATAACTTAAATAGAATAAAAATAAAACAGAAAGAATAAAAAATTACATAGAAAAAAAAAATAGACCTAAAGAAACTTCTGGCTTTAAATACGAACAGGGGGCAGGGCACTGGTGGGAGTGGGAAATGCCCCTGAGGGACATTCCAGGATCCAAAGGTGCTTCAGAATCTGAAGAGAACACGGAGAACCATCCCAGAGGAATTTTCCAAGGTGCGAAGGTACTTCGAGGCCCCAGGGGACACAGAGAACCCTCCCCGGGGATTTCCCAGGGTCTGGGGAAACTGGGAAGCACTGGAGGACATTTCGAGGTCCAACGGGACACGGGAAGTGTCCTGGAGACTTTTGAGGTGTGAAAGGCACATGGAGCAACGTCCCAGAGGGATTTCCCAAGGTCAGGGGCACATGGGGAAACACCCCGGATACTTCAAGGTCCAAAGGGAGCACGGAGACACATCCCGGAGGGATTTCCCAAGCTCTAAAGGGACACCGAGAAGTCCCTGGGTTCCAGAAGCCTCCAGGTGGCCCCGGGGGTGCCCCGGGGTGGCCGCGGCACCGGCGAGGTCACATCCAGGAGCACCGGGACGACCCCGCTCCCGCGGCTACCGCCGGCCAGCCCCCGGCAGCTCCCTGTCCCCGAGGGGCTCCCGAGCCCTGAGCAGCTCCCTGGGCTCGAGGGGGGCCCTGTCCCCAGGCACGGCCCCATCCCTGCGGGGCTGCCTCTCATGGAGCAGATCCCTGTCCCTGAGCGGGTCCCTGTCCCCACGGGGCTCCCTGTCCCTGTCCCTGAGCGAGTCCCCATCCCCATCCCTATCCCTGAGCGGGTCCCTGTCCCCGCGGGGGTCCCTATCCCTGTCCCTGAGTGGGTTCCTGTTGCTGTCCCCATCCCTGTGGGAATCCCTGTCCCCACGGGGGTCCCTGTCCCCATCCCCATGGGGGTCTCTGTCACTATCCCTGTCCCTGCGAGTCTCTCTGTCTCCACGGGGGTCCCCGCGGGGTACCCTGTCCCTATCCCCACGGGGGTCCCTGTCCCTGTCCCTGCGGGGCTGCCTGTCTCTGTCCCCACGGGGTTCCTTGGCGCTGTCCCCGCGGGGGTCCCTGTCTCTGTCCCCGCCGGTTTCCCTGTCCCTATCCCTGTCGGTGTCCCCATCCCCGCGGGTTTCCCTGTCGCTGTCCCCGTGGGTTTCCCTGTCGCTGTCCCTGTCCCTGTCGCTGTCCCCGTGGTGTTCCCTGTCGCTGTCCCTGTCCCTGTCGCTGTCCCCGTGGTGTTCCCTGTCGCTGTCCCCGCGGTGCTCCCTGTCCCTGTCGCTGTCCCTGTCGCTGCCCCCGCGGTGTTCCCTGTCGCTGTCGCTGTCCCCGCGGTGCTCCCTGTCGCTGTCCCCGTCCCCGCGGGGGCCCGGGCCGCGGGGCCGGCAGTGCCGCCGTGTCCTGCGGTGGGAGCAGAGGTTGGCCCGCGAGGCGAAGGCGCGGCCGCAGCGGGCGCAGGGGAAGGGGCGGCGGCCCGCGTGCGCCCGGCGGTGCAGCCAGAGGTGCCCGCGGTGCGGGAACACGCGGCCGCACTCGGGGCACGGGTGGGCGCGGTGCCCGCGCAGGTGCAGCTCCAGGCTCTCCCTCCAGCTGAAGCGGCTCCCGCAGCTGCCGCACACGAAGGGCCGCTCCTCGCCCGGCGCCGCCGCGCCCGGGCGGCCCGCGGGCCGCGCCCGGTGCGTGTCGCGGTGCCGCAGCAGGTCCCCGCGCAGGCAGAAGCTGCGGCCGCACTCGGCGCAGCCGTGCCGGGCGCGGTTCCCCCGCCGCAGCTTCTTGTGCTCGGTGTCACGGCAGCCGGAGCGGGGGACGCCGGAGCCCGGTTGCCAGCGTCCCCCGGTGTCATCCTTGCTGTCAGAGCCGCTCCAGGCACCTGCCGGGAACACAGGGTCACCGTGGGACAGTCCCGGCGCCACCGCCGGCCCCACGACCACCCCGGGGGGGACTCCCAGTCCAGCCCAGGGGGTGCCACACAGGGGCTCCGGCCAGGGCCAGCCTCTCGTCCCACAGCGGGCCCCCAGCCCCTGGATCCCCGCGGGGTGTCCCCGGTCACTCACAGCTGTCGCTGGTGTCGGTATCTCCGCTGTGCCCCCCAGCGCAGGGAACCCCCCCGTGCGACTCCTCCTTCATGGCAGGGAACTTGGAGTTGGGGTCTGTGAGGGAGAGAGGACCCTCAGTGCCCCCTGGAAGGGTCACGGTCACCGGGAACCCTCACCGGGCCGGGGCCGTGCTGGGGCCGGGGTGCCCGGGGCTGTTATTCCTCACAGCCGGGACAGGCCCGAGCCCGCTCCGCACGCAGAGACGGGCTGAGCCCTGCGGGGCCACCGGGCTGCAGACCCCCGGTCAGCCTCCGGACCCCCAGCTCGGCCTCGGAACCCCCGCCATGCACCCCGACCCCCGGCTGAGCCTCAGACCCCCAGCCAACCCCCCAAACCCCAGCTCAGCCTCCAGACCCCCAGCTCAGCCTCCAGCTGTGTCCCCAGCCCGTGGCACCCCCACCCTCGTGGCACCCCCAGCCCGTGGCACCCCCAGCCCTGGACACTCCGAGCCCCGTGACACCCCCAGCCCGTGGCACCCCCAGCCCGTGGCACCCCCAGCCCGTGGCACTCCCACCCCCATGGCACCCCACCCCCATGGCACCCCCAGCCGTGGGCACCCCCAGCCCTGTGGCACCCCCTGCCCTGGGCACCCCCAGCCCCAGGGCCCCGTCCCTCACCCAGGCTGGCCACCAGGTCGTAGTTGTCGCCCATGACCTCCCGGTGCAGCGCCCGCTGCCAGGGCGCCAGCTGCGCCCACTCCTCGGGGGAGAAGTGCACGGCCACCTCCTCGAATGTCACCTCGGGGGGCAGCCCCTGGCAGGGACAGCGGGGGCTCAGGGGGGCCCCTCGCTGAGCACCCCAGGGGGGTCCCCCCGGCTCTGCGTGCCCGAGCCCCCGCTAATCCCGGCCGGAGGCGTGGGGACAGCCCCGCCACCTGCCCCAGCCCTCGGCAGGGACCCCCGGAGCCCCCAGCCCCCGGCAGAGAGCCCGGAGCCCCCGCACGCCGAGCCCCGCCCGGCCCGGGCTCACCCGCGGCATGGCCGGGCGGGGCGATGGCGGCGGCGGAAGGGGCCGGGCCCGGGAGGCACCGGCAGGGGGCAAGAGCACCGGAACCGGGGGCTGGGGACCCCGGGGGGCCCGGGCGAGGGGCGGCTCTGCCGGTGCGGCGGCGGCTGCAGCGCTGCGTGCCGGGACCCGGCTCCTTCCCCTCCCCGGGGCGGCCGCGGCCCGGCCCCGCTCGCCCCCCCGGCAGCGTCACCCACCCCCCAATCCCGAGGAGCCGGCCTGGTGACCCCGGGGATCCGGGAGCCCCGCTCCGGAGCTCCCACACCTGAGAAACCTGGCCCCAAAGGTCCCACACCGGGACCCCATGGTGTCCCCCCCGGGACAGGGACACCCCCGTGCAGCCCAGACCTCCCAGAACACACCCGGGTGGCACCGGCTGTCCCCAGCCAGAGCAGGGGAGCACACAGCTGGCACAGGGTGTCTGTGTCCCAGTCCGTCCCCCCAGTGACAGCCCCAGCGTGAGACCCCCCCGCCACCTGTCCCCAGGGAGCACCAGGGGCATTGGTGTCACCCCCGAGGATGTGACAGTGACCCGGGGGTCAGCCTGGTGGCCACCCCAATCCTGAGCTCTCACCTGGTGTCCAGGTGGGGTCTGGTGGTCGCAGAGCACATGGGAAGGCTGGCACTGGCTCTGTCACCGTCCTCGTGGCCCCTTGGCCATGGGGTCAGAGCCGTTCCTGGGGCTCAGGCCAGCGCTGAGGCTGCAGAGACCCCTGTGTCCCCCCCAGTCCCAGAGAGAGCACCTGGAGCCCCAGAGCCATCAGAAGCTTTTATTTTAAATAACCTCAAAAAATAGAATTGCAGAGAGCAGAGCTGGGGAGGGGGACTGGAGCGGGACCCCCTGCCCCGCCGGGGCTCCGGGGGCGGCTGTCCCGGTGTCGGTCCCGTCAGAGGATCCGATTCCCTTGGGGATGAAGCAGTGGCAGCTCCCAGCGGTGTCTGTGGCCGAAGCTCTGCCCCAGACCGTGCATCCCGGCTCTGTCACAGCGGGGGGACAGGCAGAGGCCACGCAAACCCCAGCAAAGCCCCCCGTGCTGCTGGAGCCTCCCAGAGCCCCCCACCACCACCACAACTCCAGCTCCAGCCCAGCGGCCACCCCGGCGTCACCCATCCCAAATCCGGAATATTGAGTCCCAAAGCGCGCAGTTACCCAGAGCAAGCAGAAGCACAAGCTGCCCCCCATCCCCCCGGCACCGGAGGCGTCTCCGGGCCCCTCTGGAAGCAGAGCTGAGCCCTTCCAGGCCCTTTTCCTGGCTGTTCTCCCAGCGTGCTCCCAGCTCCCCCGCGCGGAGCTGCACTGGGCCCCAGGTCAGCCCGCAGCAGGGCGGGCCAGCACTCCCATCCCAGCCTCAGTGTCCTCAGGGAATGCCATCCAGCCCGGAACAGGCTGGAAGGTTCTGGAAGCAGACAGAGCCCCTCAGGGCTCCTCTTGTCCCAAGTCTGGCTCCAGTGGATGCAGCTCCACTGTGCCCAGCTCTTGCTGGTCTGTGTGGCTGGAGCCCACGGCAGGTCCGGCTCCAGCGCTGTCTCCTCCAGCCCTTTGGTGTCTTCCCGAGCCAGGAATGTGCCATGTCCCTGCCTGGCTCTGCTTTGCCCCACAGCCCCGGCTGGAGGCTCCTCCAAGTCCCAGAGCTGAATCCAGCTGGCAGTGTCACCTTGGCACCGAGCCCTCGGCTCTGTCCCCTCGGCTCTGTCCCCTCTGGCTCTGTCCCCTCGGCTCCGTCTCCTCCAGGCTCACCGCGGGTGACCCCAGGAGCCGAGGGCTGGTCCTTGCTGGGGGTGTCTCAGTGGGGTTCCGGTGAGGGGGATCACAGGCAGCCGGGGCAGGGTGGGGGTCCTGGTGGGGGGCTCTCAGCACAGGTCCCAGCGGGGGTCGCAGGCAGCCGGGGCAGTCCCGGGGCTCACAGGCAGCCGGGGCACGGGGCCGGTTTCTCCTCGCCGCACTCGCGCTCCGGCGCTCCCGGCACTCGCTTCTCCTCGAAGGCCCGAGCGCAGCCGCCGGCCTTGGCCCAGAGCTGCCCGCGGGGCGGCTCGGGAGGGCGGGGGGCCAGGCAGGCGGCGCAGCAGCACGGCGGGGGCAGCCCCGGCGCCCGGGGGCTCGGGCCCCCCCCGGGGCACTTACAGGGGGGCACCGGGGCCGGGGCGGCGCCGGGGCCGGGGGGCGGCTCTTCCTGCATCAGCTGCAGGAGGATGTCGGCGGCGCCCGAGGGGCTGTCGGGGCGCGCCGGGGGCGCCCCGCGGGAGCAGGGCGGCAGCAGCAGCGCGGGGGGCTCGGGGCCCTTGGCCAGCGGGTCCCCGGCGGCGCAGGGGGCAGCCAGGCCGGCGCCGTGGGTGCGGCGGTGCCGCAGCAGGTGAGCCTTCTGGCTGAAGCCTTTGCCGCAGTCGGCGCAGCGGAAGGGCCGCTCCCCGGTGTGCGTCCGCAGGTGCACGGCCAGGTTCACCTTCTGCCGGAAGCGCTTCCCGCACTCGGCGCACGCGTGGGGCCGCTCGGCGCAGCCGTGGGGACATTCGGCGCACGCGTGGGGACACTCGGCGCACGCGTGGGGCTGCTCGGCGCAGCCGTGGGGCCGCTCGCAGGGGTGAGGATGCTCGGCGCAGGGGTGAGGATGCTCGGCACAGGGGTGAGGACGCTCGGCACAGGGGTGAGGATGCTCGGTGCAGGCGTGAGGACGCTCGGCGCAGCCGTGGGGCTGCTCACACGTGTGGGGCCGCTTGGTGCAGGCGTGGGGCTGCTCGCAGGGGTGCGGACATTCAGCGCAGGGGTGCGGCCGCTCGGCGCAGGGCTGTGGCTGTCCGCAGGCGTGGGGTCGCTCACAGGAGTGGGGATGCTCCGCGCAGGCGTGGGGATGCTCCGCGCAGGCGTGGGGATGCTCCGCGCAGGTGCGGCGCTGCTCGGTGCAGGTGTGGAGCCGCTCGGCGCAGCCGTGGGGACGCTCGGCACAAGCGTGGGGACGCTCGGCGCAGCCGTGGGGACACTTGGCACAGGTGTGCAGCTGCTCGGCACAGCCGTGCGGCCGCTCGCCACCGCCGTGGCCCGGCCGGAGCCCCCCGTGCTCCGCGCACGACTCCCCGCAGAGCGCGCAGGGGAAGGGGCTCCCGGCGGGGTCCAGGGCGCCGGGGGCCGTGCCGGGGGTCCCGGTGTGCACCCGCTGGTGCACCCGCAGGGACAGTTTGCTCTTGAAGCGCTTGGGGCACTCGAGGCAGGTGAAGGGCTGGCGGCCCAGGTGCGTCTTCTGGTGTGCCAGCAGGTTGGGCTTCTGCGCGAAGCGCTTCCCGCACTGGGCGCAGGCGAAGGGGCGCTCGCCCGTGTGCACCCGGTAGTGCGTCACCAGGTTGCCCTTCTGGTTGAAGCGGCGGCCGCAGACGCCGCAGGTGAAGGGCCGCTCACCTGTGTGGATGCGCTGGTGGGTGGCCAGGTTGGTTTTGAGGCTGAAGCGCTTGCCGCAGGTGTCGCAGCGGAAGGGGCCGCGCCCGCCGGGGCTGTGCCCGTGCCGCGGCAGCCGCTCGCACTGCGCCAGGCCCCGCCCGCACTCGGGGCACGGCCAGGGCCGGCCCTCGCC